CAATATATCGCAATATATTGCCTTGCTTACAGTATCGCAATATATCGGGATATATCGAACCGTGACCCCTGTTATGATATGTATCGTATCGCCAAATTCTTGCCAATACAAAGCCCTAATGAATATCACCCACTGCTTTTAAGCCAGAGATTTACACTAAAACCACTTTATGGAGGAACAGGTTTTGGCCAAAATTTGTAAAATAAAAATAAAATAAATAAATTTGTGTATGTTCTCATGTCATACGCTGAAATCTCAGAAGATATGTTGAGGATGACTGCCAACAACTACCACACCAAATTTTAGCTCAATATCGGGAAAAAAATTGGCTGAGTTAGTCATTTTTGTGTTGGCTAAAGTTGGTTAGCCGTGGAAGCCATCTTGAACGGAGCTGACTCCAAAAGGTAACATGTTGTACACTCAATGGCTACTCAGTGTAAGTTTCATCAATATCCGTCCACTGGTTTATGTGATACTTTGCTAATGCTAACTTTTTCCTTTAACTCTAATTTATTTTATTGATAAAAACCATACATTTTACTCCACTACATTTCTCTAAAGGCATCAGTTACTTTTTTTGGCCATTTTTGAGTAGTTTGTGTCTATTTTGTTTCACCAGCATACTGCAAAGTTATACATTACACCCCTATACATTATGTAGCGATACGCAGATTTAAACCACTTGCAAGGAGACAAAGGTTTTGTCCTAATAGAGTTGCAAGCCTTTGATTAAATCCTGATTTTAATATGGACTCATCTCATTTAAGACTTAAGTTAGAATGTTTTAGACCTTTAGTCATTTTGTTCTATTAATGGATTTCTACCAAATAAACCTTGTTAAATTGTCAAAAGTTTTTCTAGTTTATTGTAACAAATATTATTTTCATTTCAACGAGCCAGTACAGATATTACAAATAAAAACTATAAAGCTCAGATTAGATTTAGAGAGCCTTAATTAGTCACTTAATACTAGATCAAAACTGTATGAAGCCTTGTCCTTGAAGTGGTGGCTATGTAGAGCCTAAATGAGCTGACACTTCTTGTAAAAAGAGTATAATTTGGAAGATCTCAGTAGTACTGTGGGCAGGGATTTGTCCGGCAACCAGTGTTGCCGGTTCAAATCCCTGCCTGAGCGAAAACTGTTGTGTCTCGACAACTAACCGAAATTTTCCTTGTATAAATCTGCTGGTGTGACTGTGGTGGTCTGGAGGGACTGTAGGTACACTTCCTTCCACCTAGGGCTGCCACGATTAATCGATTAATCGACGACTAATCGATTATTAAAATAATCGATGACTAATTTAATAATCGATTAATCATTTTCTTTTTTTGTTGTTGTTCTTTACTTTGTTTTTCTCTCCAAACTGCTTTGACACCTTCCACTGCCACATCTGCCTTTCTGTCCTTGACACACATGCACAGTAGTGGTAACTGGGGTAGGCCGTGGACGTCACAAGACATTATACAGACAGGCTCTCAGCAATTATTTTTAGTTAGCATATAGCTAAAATCTAACGATGGTTATATAATAGGAGCTGCATTCTGG